TTCCAGTTAATGAAGTAGCCGATACTGAAGTACCTCCACTAATAGTTCCTGATAATGTAATATTAGTAACTCCACTTAAAGCTCCAGATAATGTTAAACTAGTAAGCGTTCCAACTAATGTAATATTTGGTTGAGCTGCAGTTTGTAATGTTCCAGTTAATGAAGTAGCCGATACTGAAGTACCTCCACTAATAGTTCCTGATAATGTTATATTTGTAATTCCACTTAAAGCTCCAGATAATGTTAAACTAGTAAGCGTTCCAACTGATGTAATATTTGGTTGAGCTGCAGTTTGTAATGTTCCAGTTAATGTTGTAGCACTTAGCGATGATATTCCAGATACTGCTCCTGATGAACTAATTGTCATTCTTTCTGTATTACTTGTTTGAAATACTAAATTGTTTGCTGTAGATGTTCCAAAATACGCATCTCCGTTGTTAAAATGGAACAAAACACAAGTTGATGTTCCATTCGTGGAATTGAATGATTGCCCATTTGTAGTTCTACTTGAAGTGATTGTTCCGCTACTTGTTAGACTAGTTAACGTTCCCAGAGATGTGATATTAGGCTGAGCAGCGGTTTGAAGCGTTCCAGTAATTGATGTAGCTGTAAGAGTCGTTAAAGTTCCAATCGATGTAATATTTGGCTGAGCAGCTGTTTGAAGTGTTCCATATAAAGTTGAAGCGGATATATTCGTAGCTGTCAATGTGTTATTAACAGCTACATTTCCATTCGTTAATATTGACATTTGCACTGAAGCATTATTCGTGGCAAAAGTTAACGGATGATTGCTAAATGTTTGAAGACAACATTGAGTCCCATCAAACCACTGCTGATATACAACTGTTCCATCACTAATTTGATATAGAGCATTTGTCAAAGCTGTTGATCCAATGATATCTAATTGTTTAGCAGGAGATGGATTATTAATGCCTACTAAACCAGTGGATCCTATCGTTATTTTTCTATTTCCATTTGTTCTCAAATGAAACTTATTCGCTGTTGTACTGCCAAATGTCTGATCTCCAGATACAGAATCAACAGATAATGAGCACGTGCTACTCGACAGGGAGTTATTACAAGTTATAGGAGTAGATCCACTAATATTGAGTGTTGATGAAATTGTTCCTAATGATGTAATGTTAGGCTGTGCAGCTGTTTGAAGAGTTCCTGTTAATTGCGATGCTGAAAGATTATTAATGTTTGCGATGTCTCTGTTAGAATCAACAGCAATCAATTTCCCAGCGGAAGCTGTTCCTGGTGTAATACCCGACAGCACACTCAAATCAATCATTGTTCCATTTTGATAGATATTTCCGGTAATGAACAAATCCGAAGTGTAATTCACTCCATACCTCGTGTTATATCGCAGATCTCCAATATTGATAGTTAGATAATCAAATGACCCACTATAATCAGTAGGGTTGTATAATGTTGGTATATAACTTGGAGGAAGCATAAGTGATCGCAGATCACTGGATATCTTCGATATCTTCTGTTATTTTTATCCCGTTATATATAGCAACAGATTTTAGCTTTTCAATATGAGTTCAATTCCTGATTTTGGTGGTATGCTTCCTAAAGTATTTAAGAAGAAATCGTTCGGAGAAAATGAAAAGCTTGGTATTCAAAAGCTTTTCCGAATGATACTTTTAGGTCCAAGTTTTTCTGGTAAATCAAACCTAGCTTTTCATATACTTAAAGAGTCTCCACACATCTATAGCCATTTACATATTATAGCTCGCAACCCTGATCAAGAGTTATACGATTACATCAGAGAGAAATTACAAGGTTTTGTAACGTTTTATGATCCTGATGCTCCTCCAAGTGTTGATGCCATCAAAGAAATTCCAAATGCTTTACAGCTTGTTATTATCGATGATTATTCCAACGATAATAAGCTACAGAGAGATTTATTCAGTCATTTCTTTACTCGAGGAAGACACAAAGGACTTTCAACAATCTTCATAGCTCATAGCTATTTTGCTACTGACAAGATGATTAGATTGAATTCTGAATACATTGCTATTCTAAAAGCAAATTCAAAACGCGATCTACAGCTAATTTTGAAAGATTTTAATCTACCTGGAGTAAGTGAAGATGATATCTACAGGTATTACAAACAAGCAACATCTGAAAAGGGACAGATGTTGTTTATAGACTCTGTGAAGCAACAAATTCGGAAGAATTTCAAAGGTGAAGTTTTTAATTAATATACCGGTGCGGAAACAAATCTTCGATTTAATATCTCTCGTCAAATATAGAGCAGGCTTTCTACACGACAAACTAAATATGACGAGCACTATCATTTTTAATCGTAATAACATTGTTTCCAATGGCTTGAACAATACATTTAGATTCAACTTCACTGGATCAAGCGTGAATTTCAAAAATCAAGAAATTGCTCTGTCGAGCTTGCAGATTTACAACTCTCAATTCAACATTAATGGAAGTTTATACAGCAACAACTCGTTCAGCGTTTTAGTTCCAACTGCGGCGACTTATCAATCTGTTTCGATCACGCTTCCGAATGGGTACTATTCGTATGCAGATATTTCAAACTACATTCAGTCTCAATTAGTTAGTATTGGTGCATATTTGATTGATTCTCAAGGTAATAACGTTGTGTATATCGCTATGAGAGAAAACGCAACGTATTATTCATGCGAAATTACTTGCTTAGCAACACCAACTTCTGTTCCAAGTGGATATTCACGTCCATCGACTGGCTTATACTCATTAAGCGGAACTGGATTACCAACCGCTACTAATACTCCTCGAATCACTGTTTCAAACAACGGATTTTCAAATGTGATTGGATTCAGTCCAGCAACGTACCCATCAAGTATTCAAACAACAAATCAAGTATTTTTGAGCAATATCTCTCCACAAGTTAATCCCGTCAGCAGTTATTTAATTCGTTCTAATCTTATTAACAATCGGGTTAGCACACCACCTGATATTCTGACTTCGTTTAGTCCTCAAGGGACATCAATTGGTCAGTTGATCTCAATTCAGCCACCTGAATATCAGTGGCTCTCGATTAACGATGGAGCATACAGCAATATTACTCTGAGCATCGTCGATCAAGACTTTAATAATGTTAAATTTGAAGACTCCAATTCATTGATAATGCTATTAATTCGTGATAGAAAACAATAATTGTAATATTATAAGCGGGCTAAAAGATCTTGATCTTTTTGTCTGCGAAAAAAGATCTTCGATCTAATATAGACTCGATAATGTTTCCAAGTTTTAAATCTCTCCGCGATCGAAAAAATAAATTGAAGCAACTCGCTGAAGAGAACAGTGAGGAGCTTCAATTAGCACGCATTAAGAATGATCGATACAAACTAACGCAATGGGCTACTGATCTGGATCAAACTATAGATGCTTCAAAGCTTCAACAATTGCTAAGGAATGTAGCTCCAACAATGACATCAGCAGGTGTACAAGCAGCTCCATCAATGACAACGATGGGAATACAAGCAACACCTTCTATGACAACAATGGGTATGCAGGCAGTACCGGAAATGACAACAATGGACAGTCAATACGATTTAGAGGACATTGGAGATGAGGAAGATTCATTAAGTGATATTGATGATTCGCGAAGTACATATGAGTTTGGAACTCAAGTTGAATCAACCGATTTCAATTTCCAAAAAAATGCTCGAGACAAAATAATCGATCAATACACCATCAATCCAACTATTATCAAAAGAAAGGTCAATCCAATACTTAATTCTGGTACTCCAGATAAAAATGTATACATTGGAACAGACGGCAAACTATTCAGCGTGAATAACGGGAAGTTAGCAAACAAACCACTGAATAACTATGATTGGGTTGCAACCTATGATTACATAATGAAAATTATTGATATAGACATGAAAGACAGTGCGGTCGGATCATCACAACAATTTGGTTTCAACATTGAATCTGGAGCATACGAAGTGCTTCGTGATATTTTGATGAACAACACCTTTCCCGAGGGTACGAGATTACCAATCCCGTACAAAAAAGGAAAAAACCAACATGGTGGTTTTATTCCTGTAAATGGAGGTTTTAGAGTAAAATTAGTGGATGGAGAATTAAAAGTTTTTGATGGTGATCGAATGAAATCTAACAGCCAAGTCTCGTGGGAATCGACTCTTGATATGTACATCAAATTTTTAAAGCAAAACAATATCGTTTTCAAGCAATCACCGATGTTTAAAAATACCGATTTAAATACCTTTGCCAACAATAGAACTACTATTGAATTTGTTGATCCATCTGACAAGGCAATTGCCGATAGCAACAAACAAGTGAAAGATATCCTTATCAGATTATACAATGACAACCCTTGGTTAGCGGATGAGAAGGTATTTCTTGAAGGGCCAAAGATTGGTAAGAAAACATATTACCTTGGTGAATATGCAGCAATCATGAGTAAGAAACAGCAGGAAATCAGTCCGTCTATTAAGAGTCGCGTTGATAAAAATGCTAACTGGCTTGGAGCCCTTAACTATATTGCGGATAGATATGGAGATCGACTTGTATCTGCGGACATTACACTCAAGTCTGTCAATCCAAAACGATTCCAAAGAGCTCTCTCATTTGACTCCATGAGTGGTTTAGGTGTTGCAGAAGTTAAAGGACGTCGAAGCATTCTAAAACACGAATTCGATAAACTTCAAGGTGCTCGTGGTTTAGGTAATGATAATCGTCGCTTGGAAAGAGAATTAAAATTGATTCGACGAGCTTTTTGATTGTGTTTAATATAAGATGAATTCGAAAATTATAAAAGTGCGATATCCTAATCTTAGAGGCAACTCTATCAAATCAGCTGCTCACTTCAGTCAAGAAAGATTATTGAAAACTCTAAACAACCTTGTATTACAACAAAAACGTGATGTAAAGCCTACCGCAACTAAACCAATCATGACGACAATGGATGGAGGTAGATTGAAAAATAAAAAACCCAAGACATTTGCGTTGTAGAGCTGATCGCTCTGGCGGTCGAGCCCGAGCGGTCTGCGACCCCTCGAACCCTTCGAGTAACCTTGAATCCTTTGAACATTTATTTTATTTTTTTGAAATTCCTTTATTTCTTGAAATATAGATATTTTATGCAAACATGAACTCTTACGTTTCGGTCAGTTGTGATGAGCTCACGGATGCTCAAAAAAAGAAGTTTCTAAAGACATTGAAAGTATCTTTCACTGCTTCTCAAGTTAGCTGCTCTTCAAAGAAGTTAGCACTTCATCCAGAAAACGCGAAAAAATGGAAAAAGGCTGCTCAAGCTGGTAAAGGAGTATCAATTGTATTTTCACCAGGTGAAATCGCTGCTTCGTTAAATATGGACGGAGACGCTCTTACGGGATCTGGATTGAGTGGTGGATCGCTATGGAGTTGGATCAAGGATAAAGCATGGCCTTGGTTGAAAGAGAATGTTTGGCCTGTAGTTAAACCACTTGTATCGGGTGTTGTAGATCAAGGCGCTCAAGCTCTTGGAGCGTATACAGGACAGCCTGGTTTAGTTAACGCTGTTCGAGGTGAAGTAAAGAATCTTACTGGTGTGGGAGTAGGCTCCGAAGGAGCCCTGGCGCCCTCCGGGCGACCTGTAAAAAAAGGGTCTCCTGAAATGAAAGAAAAGATGGCTAAGCTACGCTCTATGCGAAAGAAAGGGGGTTCCTTTAAATTGAGTTAAATTACCAATATCTACTAGTGTAGGGGTGACACAAGTCATTTCTTTCGTAGAGTAGTTTCCTATATTTTTTTTCAATCTGATCAAACGGGGCATTGAATACCTCTTCTAGGCGAGATTTGTATCGTTTATCAATAATTAGATACTTAAACTTCGTATAAGGATTTATCTGAATCAATTGCTGTTTGATGCGGTCAAATTCGTTTATCGTGTTAATCTGATGTTTGTATTTTTGTAGTTCCTTGTTCTCTTCAGACAGTATTCTGTTTTTCTTGTGGATTATAGATAGTTCCTTCTTATACATTTGTATTTGGATTATATTATGATGCTGAGTACAGTAATCACCCCTTTTTGCTTCTCTGGTGCATTGCGTGTCTTTTTTGGTGATGTATTTACACATCATGTTCATCTATATTTAGACCAATATTGTTTCTCTAGTGTTGACATCCTGTTCTTATTAATCAATCTGAGATGTCTTGTGACTCCCAGGTGTTATCACTGTCAGCGTATCCTTTCCATTTCACTAGATATTTGTGCTTGCCGTGCATTGCTTCTTGTGATCCAGGATCTTGTCCACTTCAAACACAGCATTGTTCTCTATTGGTGCATCAGTTTTCTCTGCTTTTACAATTTTCAAGTCATTAACTGGTTTGTATAGGACATGATTATTCTTTGATTTAATACGCATCTTTAATCCATCTAATCCAATAACTTCGTACACAGCTTTTGAAAA